GAGGTCTCCCCTTTTTTGCCTTCTCTTCTCCAGGCTGAACCCCCCCAACTCTCCCAGCCTGTCCTCCCAGCAGAGGGGCTCCAGCCCTCCCAGCATCTCCGGGGCCTCCTCTGGCCCCACTCCAACAGGTCCATGTCCTTCTGCCGTTGGGGGCTCCAGAGCTGGAGGCAGTACTCCAGGTGGGGTCTCCCCAGAGCAGAGTAGAGGGGCAGAATCCCCCCCTCGCCCTGCTGGCCACACTTCTTCTGATGCAGCCCGGGATGCGGTTGGTGTTCTGGGCTGCGATCGCACACTGCCGGCTCAGGTTGAGCTTCTCATCCATCAGCACCCCCAGGTCCTTCTCCTCAGGGCTGCTCTCCAGCCATTCCCCACCCAGTCTGGAGTTGTGCTTGGGAAATCTAAGAAATATATACGTTCCGACATCCCTCCTAAATGCCCAGCATACACTGAAAAGAAATAAAAGAATGCCAAGCAGCCTGCAGACATTTGCTCTGACTGATGATTTTCAACAATAATTTCATAAATGCAGCAGAGCGGAGTATATCCCATGGTTATTCTTCCGCTGCAATCCCTGGGAGTTCCCAGTGCCACCAGCGTGGGGCTGCCCGGGGCCACCAAGGGAGACGGGTTCCGAGCGGGACAGCCTGCGCTGGGCAGAAGCGAGGGGTGGGATTGTCAACAGCTCTTGAGTCAGCAAGAAAAATGGCATTGAAAATAAGCTGCGAATGAAACAACCCACCCGAAACAACCTGAAGGTTTCCGCCAGGAGCGAGGACGGCCGGGGGTGCAGCGGCCGCTCTCCGCACTCAGCCATACCCGCACCCCGGGACCGGCGGCGTAACTCACGCCGGGAACAACCTCCAAAGCCTGAAACGATGTTTGCATGAGAGCAAGACGTTGAAATATTGATTAAAGTTGGATTTCATCAGCAATACTTTGATTTCATTATTACACTGGCTGCTAACAAAGACACACCCATCACCGCGTTACATTCCTGCTCGTAAAAGGGTGATTATTCCACTATTCACGCCAGGCTGCTCCGCGGGTATCCACAGCCGGCGGGCTCCAGGACGGGCATTTTTTCATCAGAAAAATAAAAAGACATTAAGATTTCAAAAATGAGGCCAAACCACGGCAACAGGCACATGCCGGGCCAGCGCGGAGGCTGCCTCCGGGAAAACCTCCGCATCCCGGGGAACGAAGGGATGGGCAAGGGGGAAAGACGACGGAGCACTTCGCCCTGGTTTCCATCTAAAGTATCAGCACCGAATCCAAAGAGTTACTGAAGTTTTTATCAATTTCAATGAAATGTTGGAGGGGGGGTGGGGGAAAAAAAAAAAAAACAACCCTGAAAAAATTACCTAGCAGGTGCCAGTTTTCCCAGTGCCTGGCTTTGTTCGAGGAATAATCGTACGGATGCGGAGGGTTTTTCTGATCTTAATATCCCAGTGAACTTTCAGTGCCAGGGTAAGGGTGGAAAAGGGACGGGAAGAACGCCACTAAAGGCTGCACCCCCCGGCGTTATTGTTCTAAAACTCCGGCTTAGGCCGAGTAGGACGGCTATCTGAGGCAATATCGTGTTTCCATATGCCCAAATTGTTATGCAAACCCGGGACGTCCTATTGGAGCAGAGGGACCGGGCACCGCCAGGCAGCGCTTCTCACCACCCCTTGCAGAAACATGTTTTTCAATGTGGAAAGGGTGAGAGAGGTCACCCCCGAGGAATCCAGCCCCGCATGCTCCCAGCCTTCGCCTCTCCCATCCTCCTCCTCCTCTTCCTCCTCCTCCTCCTCCTCCCCCCAAACTCCCCAGCGCAGCCAGCGTGGGACCCAGCTCGTTATCCATCAGCTTTCTCTGGGGGCTGTTTTCACGTGAGGAACCTAAAAAGGGGGGAGAAATACCTCCGGAAGGGGAAACCGCCCCGTGTGAAGCGGGATGCGCCGCCCGCCCCGCGCAGGCATTCGGCGCCGCGCTTCCCTGTGCTCCTGCAGGAAACGCAACGGCAGGAATCGAGGGGAGACTGCAAAGGCACACGGGGGTACCCAGCATCGTTCAAGCGCAATTATATTTTTAGATTAAATCCATCTTGCGCCAACATTAAAGACATAAAATAAAAAAGTCAGTTGTGAACTCTGCAGTCACACCTTTAATTCTGCCACTAGTTGGTATGAGAGAAATCGGAGACAAACCCCTCTGACAAGTCAACTTTAACCTCCAGAAGAAGCCACGGATTTTCATCGCCCTATATCAACCAAGCTTCCAAGAAATTACTGCTGATGGAGATCTAAAGAAATCCTTGAAATATATCCTCAGCGCTTGAAAAACGTCTCACTGCCATCTAAGCTTCGTCGCTTTTCCTGCTAGATCATCACTCTACAGAAGAAAAGTTCCCCCAGCAGCCAGAAACAGGTATGTGTCCAAGTCAGCTCTCAACTTTCTCTTTACTAAACTACATAAGCCAAATTTCATTAACTTTGGCCTATAAATCAAACTCCTACAGAGCATAAATTATTCTTGTTAGGATTTTGAGTCTTCTAGTACAGCACAAATGAGCCACAGACACCAGAACCGCACACGGTCCTTCTGGAAGCGTCCCACCGCCACCATGGACTTCATCCCCAGTCACTCATCCTCCCAACATAAGGACATTTTCTGCCATCACCCACAGCATCTTCTCGCAGTCACTGCTATCAAACCCTCCCCCTATAGAGGAAACCTATACACCTGAGACATATAACCTCTCTTTACCTGGATGGAAAGAGAGATTAATTTAGCTTTCCCAGCCTGCACGTAGCTTGAAGAGTCACCAGCGAGGATTTCATGCCCGGCGAACACCAGCTGGTCGAGAACACATTCCTGCAGGACACCACCAGAAATGTCCCTGCGGCATCACTCCCCGCTGTGACCGCTTTGTGCGAGCCGGTAGCTAGCAAGTTTTTTTATTTTTTTCAAGCTAATTAACACGCACCGCTCTAATTTCCTACAGTTCAACAATTTCCAACCAGAATATTGTGCAATGCTGGAGTCAAATGGCTTAAGGAAACGAACTCTATCAACACGCCAGCAAACGCAGCGAGTCAAACCTGCAACATCAGCTGAAGATGTTTGGAGAGGTTTGTTGTTTTGGTTTGGTTTTTTTAAAACTTCTAAGAGAAGTTGTCCTCGGGGGGAGCACGTTGCGCACAGCCTCTGAGGGCTGAGCTACTTTCTCATCATTTAATAACAGCGCAGGATTTGTGCCCAAGCCATTTCCTACCACAGGACGTCGATTTCTTGTCCACCATCTTCACGTGCCGCGTCTGGTTGCGAAGCTTGTCATCTGTGTTTTCAACCAGGTTCGTGAGGTCGTCGATGATCTCTGGGGAAAGAGAAATATGAGCGTCAGTCTCGGCACCCCGCAGCATCACCGCGCAACAAGCACGTGCCCACTGGAGACTCCAAAATGGAAACCAGCTGCATCCTCCTGTCTTCCAGAATGACAGACCAGTGCTCCACAGGCACTGAAATGTCCAAATCCTGGGAAATGCTACCCAAGAGACTTCCATTTCAGATTCAGTGCACTCCTCCGCTGGAAGAGTGAGGGGAAAATTACAGCCTGAAAGAGCAGGATCGGTCTAGGTAGCCACCAAGTAGAAGATCACGGTAGACACAAAACACCAGCCAAAGTAAGAGAATTAGTGCACACGCTACAGGAAATCTGAAATTTCAGTCCCTGGAATGGGGCATCTCAACACTTGGCCGTTACACAGTCATTAAAATACATGCAGAATCTTCCTAATTGCTTCACAAATGCTTTTGAGAGCGGTTTTTGCGGTCCCAACCAAGCAACCACACAGTGAAAGTCCCTCCTTGGTTCAGTTACGGAGATGCCCGGGCGGCAGTTCTGCCCGCAGCCCGAACCATCCTCTGGGACAAGGAAAGCGAGCAAAACTTCTCCTACAGCTATTTTTAAATAGAGGGGAAAGGAAAATTTCAAGCCAGCCCTTCCGCAACCTCACACAACTGATGACTGTGTTTTTTGTCGGGGAAATCGGAGCAGGTCGGAGGCTTACACCGAGACTGGGCGGTCGTTGGGTTGGGGTTGTTTTAACACCGAGAATTAAAAGCCGCATTCAGGCACCAAATTTCCTTCTCGCTGACTGTTCCGCTCTAATTTTCTTGAAACACGCAGCCAGCGCTTCTCGCCGGGAGTACGAACGCACCGTGTCTGAGCGGCTTTCTGCTCCGCAGGCAGGAAGGGCGCATGATAAATCAGGAGGAGGAGAGCAGCCAAAACCTGAACGCTACCGCAAAGCATCTTGCTCTGGTTCCGCTTCTAGCACTTTCCCCGCTATCGATCGCTGTCTTAATAAATCTCATCTGCCTTTCGAGAGCGGGTCGGGGACAGCGGCCGTGCCAGGCCTGAGAGCTCGCTCGTGCCCCGCCAGACCCTCGCGCCGCGTCTCTGCCGAAACGTCCTGCTTTAACGCGCCCTACGCAAAAGTTAAGAGGGCACAGCTTTCAGTTCGCGAGACTCACTAATATTCTGTTCCTTTTTATGCATCCTAACCCCGTACGTGGGTTGGTTGAGTGTTAAAAAGAGTAAGTCCCACCAACAGGACAAGGCTCTTACTAATTAGCCTTTATTGGTTTGACTGTATTCCTTCAAATAAGGGATTTCCCAAATATTTCTACTAGGAACAAGGGAGTGACACTAAAGAGGGCACTCCTCGTACTTCCAAAACTTCCCTGTGACCCTAGAAGAAAACCTCGCGCTCACAGAGGCAGTGCCAATACACAACATTAGTTCTTGCAGCTTCTCAAGACCACCCGTACGCCTGTGGGGGCCGTCAGATTTGTACCGGCGCTTGAAAGGGAACGGGTTCCTCCAAAATCCACCTTCCCGCAGCACGAGATGTTAGCTACGCAGGGGGCTTACGTCCTCAAATCTTGGCAAGAAACAAGCATTGCTCAAGACAACAGGGGTAAACCAGTTTGATCGTACATACGGGTAACAAAACCCAAATATAAGATAATCAAAGTTCTGCAGAACAAAGGAAATTTTCAAAGGCACACGGAGCACAGAGGTTTTACTCTCCCGGAGCGTTGGGAGATTGAAGCACCATCCTTCTAATGCGTCATCTCCAGCAAACCCCTATGTAAAATGATATCAGCATCTAAAAAATCCGGTACTTTGAAAATACACATCTATCTTAAAACGTGAGCTCCTGATTCATGTTCCTCAGCTCAACCATCTACGTATCCCCACGAAGGGAGGGCAGAGGGCAAACATCAACTGCTTCTGTCTGCGCAGCCTCCGGTTTACCCTATAGATCTGAACCCTTCACCGCTCCCGGGGTTAAGCAGCATCACCCCACCAACACTGCTCTATTCCAGCCACAAACTCCCATATTTCTGAACTCGTTTATAATACTCAAGATTTTATTGTTCATCCCACACCAAAACACGTTTTCCCAAGCGATGGCAGGTACTTTATTCCAACTGCGAGTTTTGTTCGGTGCGCAGTTCAGATATTAGCTCTCTTCCCCCCTCCCACCCAACTTTCCCAGGTCCGACATCTGCAAAGGCAACAACATTTTGGGGAAACTTTTATCTGTCTTGCGTGATTCAGCACACAGGAAAACCAGCACAATGCTGCCGGCAAAGGCAGCCTTTCTCATGTTTGCCTCTAAATGAAAAAAAAAAAGTTAAAAAAAAAAAAAAAAAGTGCCGAAAGTTCCCATCGTTGTCAAGGACAAAGTGATAAGCACGCTTGGGAAATAGGAGGCTTTCCTCTGCCAACACTGACCAGACCCTCCTTGAAAAACATCCTGGTGAACAAGCTGTAGCTAAATGAGAACAAATGCGAGCAGGAAAATTTTCTGTCATCATTTCAAAGCCCAAGGCACTGCAATTGGGATTATGTCCGGAGCCTCTCCTTTCCCATCCCCCTGCACGAGCCATTCCTCTGTCAAACCAAACTGCAGAAGCCGTTTCTGAACGAGAGAACGGGACATTACAGCTTGGGAGGAGCGTTTCTTCACACCCATGTGACTCCAGACACGGTCAGGGTTCAGGGGAGAGGGCCACTTCACCAAGCATGTAGCCCAGAGCTCAACAAGTAACGTGCGGTTAAGACCAGGAGAAGTGTTGGGGTGCTCATGGCACAACCAGGAGGTCTGAGCAGCGTCTTCCCCTCCACCACAGCGCTGGGGCTGGCACGGGGAGAAAGCACAGAGGGGTTCTTACCCCACCACCAGTTGAATCAGAAGCCTGGACCAGCAGGTTCCTCAGGCCAGGGCACTCTTGCGACCACCAACACCCTGCACAGCACCATCTATCCACCCCTCTACACCCACCAACACCATCAACACCCTGCACAGTACCATCCATCCATCCCTCTACACCCACCAACACCCTGCACAGCACCATCCATCCATCCATCCCTCTATACCCACCACCACCCTGCACAGAACCATCCATCCACCCCTCTACACCCACCACCACCCTACACAGAACCATCCATCCATCCACCCCTCTACACCCACCACCACCCTACACAGAACCATCCATCCATCCATCCCTCTATACCCACCACCACCCTGCACAGAACCATCCATCCACCTCTCTACACTCACCACCACCCTGCACAGAACCATCCATCCATCCCTCTACACCCACCACCACCCTGCACAGTACCATCCATCCATCCCTCTATACCCACCACCACCCTGCACAGCACCATCCATCCATCCACCCCTCTACACCCACCACCACCCT